TACCCAGGTCTTGGTACGACTTCTGTCCAGTACGTCCATGACCTCATTTGAGGGATGTGGCTGTAGGCCAGCCTTTCTAGGTATTTCTAGCTCTTGAAGACGCACGTAAATTTCTTACAGAATTTTTGGGGTTAGAAGAAACATTCTTGGAGGCTGGTGGATGGCACATTGCAGGCAGCTCTGCTGCTTGCGTCAATGCAGAAGAATGGATGGTATGACAGAGAGGAACAAATGTCTGTTGAATGAATGAGTGATGCAGGAATCGGGCAGTGAGAAGGACCTTCCAGCGCATGGCTTCACTAACTGAGATCTTGCCAGCCAGGTGTGAAGAGAGTTTGGTTGCCAGCCTGTTGGGATACATCTGGCTGGGGTAATGACTTTACTGATCCTCAGGAATGACTCTAGGGTTGGGTCATGGCAGTGACAGTATAGTGGTATAACAATGGCCACGTAGTAGCTGACATGATTCTAGGATTTAAACTAGTGAGTCTGGTGGGAAAACTCAGCCTTGTGGTTTTGTACTTCTATTTAGGTTTATTTATTTCACAAATTGCTTTTAATCCGTGGTCTCACCACTGTCCCAGGGCCTTCAGTCATAGAGGTGGATGTAGACAGCTGGTCTGCAGAGCTTGAAGTAATAGAAAATGGAACCACAGTGTCTTCAATTATCTTACGCTCCTAAGGGGAAGGACAGGAGTCAATGAAAGAGAGAAAAATGAAAAATCAAATTGGTCAAGAGAAAAATTTCATTAAGGAATTTTAGAAAAAAAATGTCAGAATATGCTCAAAAAAGAAGTCTTATTTTCCAAAAGCATTCAAATCATATAACACTCTCTATGAGTAATAATTTAGACATTAGCATTTAATTTAGAAAAACAAAGTCTTTGGAAATTAATTAGTGGGATTCAAGAAGCCTAATTAGAAATGCTGTTAGGGATCTGATTATGCACAAAAATTACCATTAAAAATAAAACTCACAACTATATTAATCATAAAGAAAATAAATTTTAGATAATATACATAAAGTGTAGTAGCCTCCTTCAAATTCTCTAATGTGGTCTGGCTTGTTTATTTAAAAAAATAAAATGAACCAAAACACCTTCCACCCTTCCAAATCTCTTTAGTACTATATAGTAAATGCAGTGGTAAAGATACATTTACATAGCCTAGATATCAAAATTATCCTCATAAAATTAATTCACTACTACCAAACAACAAACAAAACCAAAAATACATAAATGGGTTCATGTCATCTCTCTAAAATAAATTAAGAATCCAACTTTCTGACTGTAGAACAGATATAATTGTATAGCCTCCTCTGACCGTGGCTCCACACACCCTTACCATACACCATACTTTGGGGAATTGTGGTCTTTTAGAGCCTATATGATAAGACTTTTTAAAAGAGATTGGTAGAGCTCAGTGAGATTAAAGAGAATCAGACATAGTCACATGCGTACATATGCCACAGACACAGGTAGTGTTGATAGACTTTTAGGAACTGGAACAACAAAGTCAAATTCCTTCTTGGGAATTTCCTACCTCCTCATAAAGAGAATCAGACATAGTCACATGCGTACATATGCTACAGACACAGGTAGTGTTGGTAGACTTTTAGGAACTGGAACAACAAAGTCAAATTCCTTCTTGGGAATTTCCTACCTCCTCATAGTATCTGCGTTCTTCCTCTTCCACCTCTTTTTGGGCCTTTTCCCACTCTTCTTTCAGCTTGTTCTGCTCCTTCTGGTATCTCTCCTGTTAAGGAATTTCCATAGTGTTCTGAACTGGCCATTGCATACATCATTAGGATTTTTTCACCCTCTAAACCACCATGTACAATACATCGTAAGATTATCTTCTTCTTGTAACTGATTTTAACTGATTCATGAGTAACAGGGGGATAATACTCTGTGGTACTCCATATTTTAGGAACACAAAAATCCAATGAAGAGCAGTTTTTTTCTGCTGTTGGTGTTTCATAGAATTGTTCTTTAAATATTTGAGTAGAAATTTGCTTATGCAAAGAGAAAAGAGGAAGTGACAAAAAGTCTCGAAAATCTTCCCTAAGTTGGATTTTGCCTTAGATAGACTAAACCAATAGTTTGCTTTTACTGGGCCCTTCAGAGATGAGTTCTGCCATTATCCTAGTAGAAATATACTGCTGCCAGGGGAGTTTAATAAAAGATGAAAAATCTTGTAGGTTTACAAGATAGACACTGCAGAAAGGTCCAAAGTGAACAAGATGACAATTAGCTGAGTGGCTGAATTACCCCTTGTTTGTAGACAGCCATTCTGATAAAACAGAATCTCCCTGGCTTGAAGTAACTTGCGAATTAAGAGTGGCTTTTAAACAGCTGATTAAAATGCTTCAATATCCTGATCACACCTTCCAGCATTGGACAGATCATCTAAGCAACAAATCAACAGAGTAATGATTATTCTTTCAGAAGGAGAGAAGAAATCTAGGGTAATTGGAGTGGGGAGGGGGGAAGAAGAGGGGGATGGGGAGAGATTGGACAAGGGGCATAAAGAATAATTATGATTTGTAACAATACATATGCTAGTAATATTGATTTGATCAACATATCTTAATGTTGAACCCCCAAAATACATATAATCAATTTTGATTCAATAAAAAAAAGAATGCTTCAATACCAGAACCAGTTCAATACCAGTTCTTGTTTCCAGAAACAACACAACAGTAGTCACCACTTCTGAGGGCAGAAATAAAATACTCTGAATAAGGATGGCTTTTAAAAATGTGACTGATTTCCTGACAGCTAACTAGAAGAAATGAATAAATGGACACTAATATTAATGCTTAAAATGACAACTGACACCCCTGGATGCCTTGGGAATGGCATCCTGACATGACAGAGACAAAGGAACCACTGGTGTGTGCTGCACACATGCAAATATTTTAGGCCGATTATTGTCGATCCTCTCTTCAAGCCTGTTAAAACAAGCCTGTGCTTCTGTCTTCATGGGCAAGGCACTGAGACTTCCTCCAGGTATCACCTGTAATGTCATTATCATAGGAGCAAAAGGACTTCATCGGAATTGTCTGGAGCCTGGTGTTCCTACTAATGCTCTGGCAAGGTCATTGTTGGTCAACCCATGGCAGGCTCTTTAACTCTGGGTAAAAATGTGTTATCAAAACCGAATATTACAGAGTTTTAGGGAGGGACTTCAGGGGCTTTTCAGAACAGAGGAAACAGACCCTAAACTACACATAAGCTAAAAAACAAGCAAAGCTTCTTAGGCTAACTGGTTCTAGGAGCTCACATCAAGTGCCCCCCTCACCAAGAGGATGAACCAATGATGAAGGAAGTGGAAGATGCAGCATGTCTATGACACACACACACCCACACACACACCCTCCCTTCCCCCACAAGCACCTTGGCCCACAACCCACGATGCCACACCAGGTAACAGTTTGCTGAGACAAGAGAGATACATATGCCTGGTGCCTGCATCTGTAACCATGGCGACCCTTCAGCGTGCAATAGACAGCGCCTTGATGGGAAGCACACTCGCCTGTCTTCTTTACTCTGGGGAAATTCTGACTGTTGGCTGTTCACCAGGTAGCTGGGGAATGAGCACCTGATTTCCAAGAGAACAGCAGATGGCCAATGCTGCTCTGAGGTCTCCCAATGGACCTAAAAATCCCAGCAGCTCTGGAACTTGGATGAATCAGGTTCTTATTAACATTTTAGTACGGAAGGCCTAACCCTCCACAATTTTTAAAAGTGCCAAACTTAACTGGCAGAGTTAAAACCACAGTACAATTTATTAACTATCTAAACCACCTCCCACCCCACACCCCTGAAAACTAAGACAAAAGAATTAGAACAAATAATAAGAAAAAGTAAGTAAAATAAACTTGCATTAAGCATTGCTTTCTACACAGCAGCAGAAAGTCATCAAAATTAATGAGATTTAACATTCTTTCCCTTCATGATTTTTTGCTAAAATCAGAAGTAATGGAAGTAGAGTGAGAAGAGCATAAATTTTAAAGTCACCCAGATTTGGATTTTAATCCAGGCTCAACACCTGTTAGCTGTGTAACCTTGGGCAATTAATTTAACTTTTGTGAGCCTTAATTTCTTCGATTGCAAATGGGGGCTAATCAGACATATTTTGAAGGGTTGTATGAGGATTAAATGAGACAAAACATGTCAAGCACCAACCACAGTTTCTGGCACATCCCAAGTACTCAACATAGGTTAATTTCTAAGGTTACTAGGTTACTTTTTGAGGCCCTGTTAATCCATAAAATTGGCATGAAGCAAGTAGAAGCACAAAAAATTTACTCCCAGAATTTTTCTAGAATTAATAATTAGCAGCTTTTACTCAAAGATGGAACAGACGTTTCTACTTAAGAAACTAAACTGAAGCCAAATTTTATTTCACGTTTGCTATCAAATAGATTTGTGATAATTCATTCCCACTGCTGCTTGGACTGGAAATTGATTGGCCACCAAGGCGGTGATGAATGGATGGACTGGCCCTTAATCAATACTTGGAGTTTTTCATAAGTGTTCATTTGAACATTTTTTCCTCATGTTCATTATTGTAGCCTCTGGCAGGAAGAATTACATACAGGGCACTCTGTTGCATGGACACAAAATGGAAAACAAAAAATAAAAAATGCAGCAAACCGAGTCCTACCTGGAGCAAACGTTCCTGCTCCTGTTGCCATTTTTCCTGTCGCCTGCGCTCCTCTTCCGGGTCCCATGCCCAGAACTTAAACTGCTTAGAAAAATAAAACCATGATCAGAAAGGAGCCATGTCCTCAAGGACAGGCCAGGGCAAGAGAAGACAATTAGCCTTTGGCCTGGCACCCCGATGGATGTGCAGAAGCAGAAGCCTTCACAGCTGAATGTCCTCTTTGGTGGCATTAACTACTTTTTAAATCTTAGTCCCTCTTTGCTTTACTTCCAAGATGCTGGTATGATTCTGTGAACCTTTTGGGGGCTAATGGGAACATGAAATAATTAGCCATTGGCATGGGAATGCTTTCTCTTAGAAGTGATTTCTTAAATGCATTCATGCTCCTGAGCATAAGATGCTCATTCTGTGTAGTGATCCTGGGTCCAAACAAATGAGACCAGTTACTTCAGCAGAAATGCATTTTGTAGGAAGTATTGTCTGCCACACTACAAAACTAATCTTTTTTTTTTTTGTCCTTTTTGAGACCAGCCGCACTGCACTCAGCCAGTGAGCGCTGTGAGCGCACCGGCCATCCCTATATAGGATCCGAACCCACGGCAGGAGCGCTGCTGCGCTCCCAGCGCTGCACTCTCCCGAGTGCGCCACGGGCTCGGCCCTATAAAACTAATCTTATATACTGCTATTGCTTTTCCACCCAAGCTTTCCTTAAAGTGGGTTATTTAACTCACCTATGCCTACCTGCACCACCTAATATCCAGGCCCTGTCTGGGCCTTCATAACACAAACACACCCAAAGACTTTTTGTTTTGTTTTCTTTTTATAATAGGTTTTTGTGCATTTGGGAACGAAGAGAATGAATAGGAATAATAGGACAGGGATGCATGAACCAAAGCAGGCGCCCAGGCCACAGCATACGGGACCGGGAGGGTGTGGGGGAAGAGAAATCACAGCCTGCCCCTGGAAACCAGCAAAAGAGGGGGTGCTGCATTTAAAGTCGGCCCTCAGCCAGTCACCCAGAGTAGGTGCCCAGGCAGGCCAGGTTCCCTAATAACTGCACTCTTTCCTTCCCTCTGTCCTGAGGGGGTAGTTTGGGGGCACTTAGAACAGCCTGGGAATCTCGAGTAGAAAAAGCAAGGCAAGGGTGGGGGAGTCAGGGAGGGATGGGAGAGGTTGGGTGGGGGAGGAAGGGGGAGGGGAGCAGGCAGAATCTACTCATCTGGCTGCCTGGCAAGCTGGACAGGGTCAGTCCCGTCCCAGGTTTCAGTGGGCCTGGTTACTGCCCAGGACACCTGGGCCAGCCGCCTTCCACCCTATCCTGACTCCAAAAGATCCACACCACTCAGGAGTCTGGCGGCTGGGCTGGCCCAGGGAAATGTCTCCGGGCAGAAAATGCAGGCTGGCCACAGGTGATGCTTGATTTACAACTCTATAAATATTAATAACTTTTATATACTTAGACATACAAAATGTGGGTCTCATTTTGTACTCTTGCTGTGGTTCCTGCACATGGTTGAGATGGCCGTGATGCTCACAGAATAGTCAAAAGAACGTGAGCAAATAAAACAGGGAAATACACAAGGGTACTTCAAAAGTTCATGGAAAAATAAAATTAAAAGATAATACAAATCTTTCCATGGACTTTTTGAATACCCTCATACTTCCTCTTTGCCACTCTTGGAATTCACGCTGCACGTTAGCATAGTACTGGCTCTGGCAAGTTATGCAGAGGAAAAGTGTTTAATTGTATAAAACCTAGTCTCCCAAATTTCTTTGGATGACCACAAAATGGCATCCAAATGTGGATCCCAAATGGGAAATTCTATTAAAGTTTCATGGTGTCGGGTGTTGCTGCCACCCGGCATTGTCCTAGGACGCGGAGGCTGTTTAAATGTTCAGAACCTCTCTCAGGGGCATGGCCTTTCTTTATCTTTTGGGGAAAAAGGGGGTGTTTATGTGAATAAAGCCACAGGGAGATCAGTGAGGAAAGTCCAGTAGTAGGAAAATAAGAGAAACAATGAGGAATTATTGAATTTTCAGATTTCACTAGTCGTCTCAAGAATAAGTCAAGTAAGGAAGAGTTAGACAGGAGGAGGCAGTGTGTGGCGTGGGGGGACTGAGCATAGAGAATGCAGAATTTTTGTTAAAAAGCAAGAGAGAAAAACAATGGGCATTTAAAAAGGAAGATAGCAGTGAGATAAGTAAGAGGGAAGAACGGTGACTTGGTTCTTCTCTTGGCGATTATCTGCTGAGCACTGACTCTATGCCAGGGTGGGGGTTCCAGTTGGCTAAGAGCACCAGCCTTGTGGAGCTTACAGCTGAGTGTGTGGGGGGTGGGAGAGCGACCAAGGTATGAATGATCATGGAAGCCAGTGTGAC